CCATGCTTCTCATGACTACTTTTCTTAGGAGCTAACACATCATTCATGGCCACGAGCAACAATTTCTAGGTCACAGGCCTACAACTTTTTTTTTAAATTGTGAGAATACCGTACAGAGGGATTACAATTACATGGGCAAGATAACAAGTACATTTCTTATCAAGCATTGTTGCCTCCTCCTTTGTTTCCCCTTCCCATCTCTTCCCATACCCCCCCTTCCCAATCCTCCCCTAGCCCACCAAAGTTGTAAAGTTCCTTTTTGACATAACAACTTGTACATCTCATTGTTGCAATGAGTCCACCTGTATCCCTATTTAAATGATTTGTTTTTGCCCTTCCCCTCCACAAATTATACTGACATCAAATACAGTGAAAGCAGGGGTTATACTGTGGGGGCGGGACATACAAAGCAACAAAGAAATCATCTTACAAATATATTAGAAACAATTGCATGAAAGAAAAAAAACATTTGAATACTTATCTTGGGGTTCATTTCCCTAACATCAACTTATCTGACCTTTTCTGCTTGACTCAGACATACACTGGTTGTTGCAAATAAGGGAAACCATGGGACCTATGTTTCTTTGGGACAGGCCTACAACGTTTAAGCTTTAAGTCCCAATTCTGTCCATTCTAGTTGAATAGTTTGAGGTTAATTGTTTATTCCCTGTCATCCTCCTCATTTATAAGATGAAGAAAAAAATGGCTTCTTCATGAGGTTCTTGTAAGGAGAAAATAAGAAACAGTTTAGCAAGTAGTCAATGTTCACTGAACGGCAGCATCCCGGGCTCCTTTTAAAAAACCTTTTCCTAGGCTGCTTTTGTTTGTATGTTTGCTTGTTTGCTTTAGCAATATTAGGGTTTGAACGAGGGCCTTGTGCTTACTGAAAGAGGCACTCTCTGACTTGAACCGTGTCCCTGGTCATTTTTTGTTTTAGTTATTTTTTCAGATAGGGTCTTTACTTTTCCCAAGGCTTGCTTCAGACTAAAGTCCTCCTGGTTAGCTAGTAGGGAATCACAGTCACAAGTGACCCATCCCCGTGTGAGTGTGTGTGTGTGTGTGTGTGTAACAGCTAATCAGGGAGATTTAGCTCTAACAAAAAGCAATGAAGCCAGTGGCTCCCTGAACAAAGAAAAGGTGTAGCTTATATGGGAAGAATTCCTGCCTACAGTTCTCATGCAAGTCCTATCTCACAAATAAGGGCTTCACACCTGCAGTGCGCCTGGCCCTGGCTGGCCTGATGGTTGCCTTTTTACTGGCTTTGTGCATTTCCCCCCATGCAGAATGCTATTCATTTCTGCAGCATTCCCACTGCACACCAACAATTTTGACTTCTAGAATTCATTATACGTTGATTTGTATACAACAGGAGAGTCTCACAGAAATAACAGGAAAACAAAACTAATTTGAGAAACAGCATCCCAGAAAATTACTCAGAGGATATTACAAGTGTGGCATCCTTCCTGGATCTCTATTTTTCTCTGCTTTATTTATTATTGTTTGAAGGGTCATTTCTCTACTGATGACAATGTCAGCTGCTTCCCTATGACAGGCAAGGAACTCATATTTCTGCCAAGTGAAAGAGACTCTCCCTTGTCTTGTTGACCACTGCTTTTCCTTCTCACAGCCTTTTTTATCTGCTTCACCCAAACTGGTTCTGTTCCATTAACTTACAGCTGGAAGCGTCAGCTACTTGGCTTTACATGTGGCCTTCCCAGTAAGGGACAATCTATCCCAGCTGCCAGCAACACCTGTCTGTAGTGTAGTCTTTTTATAGAAGTTGGCCCCCCTTCCTGAAGCTTGTCAAATGATTCTAAATGATCACTGTGCTTAAAGGCTTTCTTTCCTGTTGTGACTGCCTCCTGCCCATGTCTTCCAGGGTTATCTTAGGATGTATTTATGACTATTTACTGGACCTAAAAGAACATAACCTGGCTAGTAGATACATAGCAAGGTTTTCACTTAATTAAGGGGAAGAAACTAACAACCGACTGGCCCACCATTGTTCACTGTAAATAGCTTTAGACCTCAGTCATGCATCCAGCAAGAAGTGCAGAATCTACACCCCCCCCCCACCTTTCAGCAACTTGACAATGTCTGCAGATCCCATGCACTCCAGACAAAACTGTTCAGAGGCAACAGAAGCAAGAAGAAAAAAAACTCTAGGATTTTGCTTTGTTTCTGTCTGATTACTTCTTGCACCATCAATCATTATTTTCACAAATCTGAATCAGTACTAAAGCAATTTAGCATCCAGAACTGACTGATAAAAGCAGAAGGGAAAGGAGGAGATCAAGCTTCCCCGGCTGGGGTGGGGTTGGGAGTGTAGAGTGTAACAGAAAGGTGGGGGGGGGTGAGAGAGAGTGAACCCCAGCAGGTCTGAGTAAAATCCCATGGGGAATAGGAAAACTGACTGCCAAAGGTAACACTTGCTTTGTCAGACTCCCATTCTGACTCTCACCTTATATGGCAGCAAGAGATAGGACACTCACTCCATCACCATTGAGTCACCATTGGGTCACCATTGAGCTGAAGCTATGGGCACAGGGCAGTGGTCCATAGGCTGGAGAAAGGGTTTCCCAAAGCATGGTCTACTTGGTAATTCTGCGACTTGTGGGATTCTCCCAATTACAGAGCTTCTGCCCTCTGAATCTCTGAGTAAAATCAGAGGTAGCTTTTAAGCACAGTCAAACCTGAGAATCACCAGTAAATAACATGTTGAGAATCACTAATAAAGAGAAAATTGTCAAAATTCATTTTAAGTAGAATAGTTCTTCAAGGATGTTCATATCTTGATCCTAGGATCCTGTTACCGCATTAAACACAGTGGAGTTAAACTTCTAATGGAATTAAGGCAATGAATCATCTGATCTTGAGATAAGATTGTCTTACCATAGTCCTTAAGAGTAGTAGAAGAAAACAGAAGATGAGTCAGAGAAGGCATGGAGAAAAGCAGCGTAAAGCAATGTGAGAAAGATTCAATCTTCCATTGCAGGCATTCAAGGTAGAGGGAAGGACTGAGAGCCAAGGATGAGGGTAGAAACAGTTGTAAGGCATTCCTTCAGAGCATCAAGGGAGATCACAGCCCTGCCAGTGCCTTGAATTTTGACCAGTGTGACCTATAAATAAACTGACAATAACATGTATCTTGTTTCAACACACCAAATCTGTGGCAATTTGTTATAGCGGCCACAGAAAACTAAGTCTAAGTAATAATGAATGATTGGAAACATGATTCTGAAAACAAAAACTTCAAATCAGTTGTGGATTTGAGTACAAACCTGAGTTTTGAAATAAATACAATTGTAACCTAAAAGAAAATAAGGAAGGAAAGGAAAGAAGGAAGGGAGAGGGAAGAAAAAAGAGAGGAATAGAGAGAAGAAAACTCAGAGTCCTTTCCACTTGTTACAATGAGGTCATAGTTTAGACTTAATTGTGTCAAGCCTCTAAGGCTTGTGGACTGGTCACTTTCCTGACTACTCCTGTGGGTCCATTATCAACCCTCTCTGTTCTGTACTTGGCCCTGATAGAATGTTCTATGGGCCACATCTCAGACTCCTAGGCCCTCTGGATTCAACTGGGTCCAGAGATGGGTCCAGAGATGGTCCAGAAGGAGACAGGAGCACGCTGACACTCAGGTGCTGACCTTGCTCTTACTCCAATCTGAGACAGAGCATCTCCTTATATTTTGCTCTCTCCACACCTCACTCACCTCATAGAATAGTAGCAACACAGAAGAAATAAGAAATGTATTCAAAGCGGGGCACCAATGGCTCACACTTGTAATCCTAAATACTCAGTAGGCTGAGCTCTGAGAATTGCAGCTCAAATCTAGTACGGCAGGAAAATTCATGAGACTCTTATCTCCAATTAACCACCAAAAACCTGAATGTAGAGCTATAGATCAAGTGGTAGAGCATCAGCATTGAGAGAACAAAGCTAAATGACAATGTCCAGGCCCTGAGTTCAAACCCCAGCATCAAACAGAGAGAGAGAGAGAGAGACAGACAGACAGAGACAGAGAGAGACAGAGAGACAGAGAGACAGAGAGATTCATAAAACCTTCCAGAGAACCGTCCAGTAAGAACTATTGTGGACCCAACTGAAAAGTATCTGGAATTCTCCATTCCTCACATGCTTCCTTCCCACCCACTTCACAGAGAACAGACTTCCTTGGGGTCAACTACATAAGAGGCCAATTGGTTGAGAAGTCAAAAAACACATCCAACAGTACCAATAAAAACAATTTAACCTAAAAATGACCCTAGAGTAAACAGTTTACCCAGTTATTATATATGCAACATTGCTGTATGCAAATCATATGCAAATATAAATACCACTCTCCACAGGGATAGAGTTTTCTTTGCTTTCTCTGGCTTCAAAAGCAAATCCAATTTGGCAAATTAAAATTGAAAATTATCCTATGATGGGATAAAATTTGCTTATGCAGATCAACACCTCTATTGATATGCCCAGCAGATCCCCTACCTTTAAAGTGTCTAGTTCATGAAGAAGTGTCCTGTGACCTTCATACATTCCCACTTGTGTCTATAGGGATTGCTCCACTCTGCAGACAAGTCAGCTAAGGAGGGCTAAGTCTACATAGGCTGCAACATATAATTCCTGGTATTTTTAGCCATCTTCCATTCCTTTGGCTCCTCAGTACCCGCCCATTCCCCAAGTGTTTTTAAATTAAAACAACTAAAAGATAGCAAGAAACAGGAAGACGTTGATTGTATTAATATCCCAAATAAGATTTTAAGAAATTTAAAAGGTTGGATCCCCTCCAATACCTCCACAAACATTTGTTTCCTGCCTTTACACAGGAATATCATACAAACAGAAATGCTAGCACTTATTTTTAGGCTACAATTTTAAAAGATTGTTGTTCCTTTTTTCTTAAAAAAAAAAAAAAGCTGGGGTCAGTAGGCTAACATTTTTCCTCCCTGGTCCAAGCCTGCGCCCAGGTGTTGATTCTGCTGGGTACCTCCTGAGCCTACCTGAGCTGGGAAAAACCAGAAGAAGAGGTTGCTGTTGTAAGTCTTATTCACAGTGATGTAGCCGGAGAAACTCTTCACTTTAATTCCTTGAAAAGGAGTGACCAAACTCAATCTTTTCCCTAGTGAGGAGAAAAAAATTACCCAGAGATTAAAATTCATGTCATGTGAGCTTTCTCCACCTAAGTGAGATTCCCCTTTGAGCAGCCGGACGGGGGCTAAGGGAAATCAGAAGGCTGTGAGCGACTTAGCAGAAGAAACCACAACCTAGCAGATCCCAGTCCCCCCTCTCATAGATCCTACATATGCCTCATTCACAGTTGTCCCAAGAGCAAAGAAAAGTTTTAAGCCTTTCTGGGGGTAGGATCAAAAAACACTTTATGAGCTTTATAAAAAAAAAAAAACTTCTGAAAGAAAAACATATTACTTACCGTAACATCTTGAGTCAACCAATGTGCTCATCTTAGGACATCAAGAAAAGGGAAGATAAAGTCACCTAACACGTAAGAGTGAGGTGCAGGGAAACTAACGTAAGCACACAACTTTCAGTCTTGGAGAGTCCGTGTGCCACACAGTCGCATTTTCAGGACAGCAAAAGCCTTCCATGTCTTCCAAAGGCAGTAGATTGAAGCACATGACCAGTTGAGGAGATTGAAGATGGTGAGTAGGGGGGCAGGCAAGAGGTGACCTCATACATACTCAGAAGGAACCAAACAGGACAACAGGAAAGAGACAGAGAACAGAGGTCCTGGCTTTCTTATTGTGGTAGCAAAGTGACAAAGAGAGAATGTCTAGACAGTCAACGTTGTCCAGGAATAAGCAATACTAATAAAGATAACACTCACCAGACCCCTGTCCAAAGGGCTTTATATTATGCCAGAAATGTAATTATTATCTCCACAGATGAGAAAAGTAAAGCACAGGGAGGTTTAGTAACGTGCCCAAAGTCACACAGTGGGAAATGGAGAGCTGGGAAGTCTATTTAGCAGTCAGACTGCAGGGATATTCCTATTCCTGCCATGTCACAGTGATGCCGGATTAGACATTATTGAAAATCTAAGTAATGAGAAGTTGGAGGAGTGGTGATTGGGAAAGGCGTGGAGAAGGAAGGAAAAGTGAGTAGCAAGGAATAGGAAGGAAATAGAAGTTTGATGGGAGAAGAGTTCTTTAGTAGAGAGAAAGAATGTGTTCCAGTAAATACTAAATCCCTACAGAAAAGCTATTTAATAGGGATGCATAAAGGAGAAAGGCTGATCCTTTCACACTACTACCAACTACAGATGGGCTCCGTGATGAGCTCTGGAAGTGTGAATGAGCCTCCACCTCCCATCATGGATCCATGGGGAGAAATCAGCACAGAGAGAATATTTACACCTAAGAGAATAGGTGATAAAAGCCCTACCTGCTACCCTGTCCCCAGTACACCATGGCTTTGAGGACACATGTTTCTCTTTTAAAATGCACATGCCTACCGAAAGAGGAATCTCCTCTAGAACACAGCTCCCTCTCCCTAATACTATGCTGGGCTTAGCATAGGTGGGCAGCTCTGTGGCTCTCTGGGCAGGCATTTAGCCTCCAAGTTATGAAAAGTGGACTCTTTGTGGGTTCCCAGGATCAAAAAGTTTCCATACAAAAAGTCTACAAAGAAAAGTCATCTGTGACATGCGTACACTCACAATGAGCAGTGGCTGGGAGCAGAGGAGGTGGGGACAGAGGAAGGGTCTCAATAGGCAGAAACTTGGAAGTCCTACTTGGGCTGGCACCGTAAAAAGAGCATTGGCTCCCTAATGGGACAAATTTGATTTATAATCCTAACAAGAGTTCCCAAAAGCCATTTCACCTCTGAGCCTCTCCTCCTGTGGAAAATATAGACACTGACTCCATCCATACAGGGTGGAAGAGCCTTTCTGTGAGCATCAATAAGAACATGCTGATGATCACGCCGAGCAGGCAGTTGGACTGGAAATGAGGATGTATCCAATGGGAGTTGTGGTTATCCTTAGTGGATGGTCATCTTAAATGAAGTCTAGACTTCAGGGAGATTTTCTATCTCAGCCCAGTTCTCCCAGGGTAGGTAATCTATTGCAAACTCTGCAGAGCTGCAGAGAAAGGTCACTTAATTCTCCTGTCAGGGCTTGAATATCTCCACCAAAGCTCACACCTGTAATCCTAAGCTACTCAGGAGGCTACGATCTGATGATCATGATTCAAAGCCAGCCAAGGCAGAAAAGTCCATAGACCCTTTATCTCCAATTAGCCAGCTAAAGATTCCTTATCTCCAATTAACCAGCAAGAAACCAGAAGTAGAGGTATGTTGCTCAAGTAGTAGGACACCAGCCTTGTAAGAAAAAGCTAAGGAATAGAGACCTGACCTTGAGTTCAAACCCCAGAACCAGCACAAAACAAAATCAAAAACAAAAAACCACTTCATATTGATGTTTAACCCCATTGTGGTGAATCAAGAGAATGTAAGCTTAATAATTTGATTATGCTACTTTAAAGTAGGGTACTGGGAAGGTAATTAAATGAAATTCTAAAGGTGGGTCTCTCATTTAATGGGACTGTTGCTTTTCAAGAAAAGGAGGAGAGACCTGAGCTAGGAACTTTGGTCTCAGAGTAATACCCGAGGCTGTCTCAGTACTAGGCATAGTAACTAGCACCAAGAAGGACCTCACCAGATTCACCTTTCAATCTTGAACTTCCTAGCCCTCCATTCTGTGAGCTGAAATAAGCTTTTATTCTTTGCAATTACTCTGTCCATCACGTATAGCAGCAGAAAGTGGATTAAGATCCCATACAGAAGAAAACAGCCAAGGAAAGACAGAGAATTCTAGAACAAAGGAAAAGGAGGAATCTGGGGAAAAGTGATATTTGCTGGTGTTTTCTTATTCCCTCATTATTCTGACCAACTGTTATTTCTTTCTTCTTTATTTTTAATTTCAACTCATAAAAAGATCATCAGACACATCTCACTCCACCCCTGAGAGAGGAAATCAGGGGAGCAAATGAGCAAAAACTGAGGGTTGGAAATAGGTGAGATTTGGACCAGAGAAAGGTAAATGGACAGAAGGCAATTCAAGAAAGAAGACAGAGAAAAATGAGAGAGGTCAAAGTATAATAAGAAAAAGAGAAAATATATAATAGGAAAGAGCTGGAGGGAATGGAATATGGGTGAGAGATGATTGAATCAATCTGTCTCAGACACCAGCACAGCACAGGTTCTGCTGGCCTGCCAGAAATTGAGTCAGATGCTTACTCATCCCTCCCTACTGGGAAGCCAAAGTTGCTTCTCTGTTACCTGGTAGTTAGGCACATTTGATCCCTTTTCTCCTCCATTGGGAGCTACTGGCAAGCAGAGAATTTCTTATTTGTCTGTGTAAGTCCTGGGATACATGCTGTTTCACACAGCAAAGAACACTTTTTAATGAATGAATGCTAATGAAAGGATGGCTGGAAAGAAAATGAATGAACTTAGAGCAGGTCAGATAGACTGTGCATTAGCTTGATTTACATTCCCCTAGGGAAGACAAGACCTGGAAGATCTCTTAAGAAATTTAGATCTTTTCTGTAGTCCATGAAAAAAAGTGTTTTACTTAGTGAAAGGTTTGAAATTCCCATTCATCAAGTAACAGTAAAAATAATCAAAAGTTACAAAACAAAAGCAATAAACAAACAAACAAAAAACAGCCAGGCGCCTGTGGCTCATGCCTGTAATCCTAGCTACTCAGGAGGCTGAGATCTGAAGATTGCGGTTCAAAGCCAGCCTGGGCAAGAAACTCCGTGAGACTCTTATTTCTAATAAACCACTAAGAAAACCGAAAGTGGCTTGTGGCTGAGGTGGTAGAGGGCTAGCCTTGAGCTGAAGAGTGCAGGGACAGTGCCCAGAGTTCAAGCCCCACGACCGACAAAAAAATAAAAAGAGAAAAAAAACTTTTCATATATTTTGAATGTTTTTCGTCTTTCCGGTCTATTAATGGAATGTGGAAAATTTCCAAGATGTAGGTGTTTTTCTCGTTCTGACACTGTGACTCACCATGTAAATTAAAAAAAAAAAACAGCTTAAGAAAAGGAAAAGGTTTTCTTAGAAGTGATTTGACTTCTCCCTTTGTTATTTACTGTTGGTAACCATGTTTTGTGATTTAACACTTGCAAGATTATTGGTGCTGGTGGCTCATGCCTATAATCCCAGCTATTCAGGAACCTGAGAACTGAGGATCACAGTTCAAAGCCAGCCTGGGTAGGAAAGTCATGAGACTCTCATCTCTAGTTAACTGCCAGAAAACTGGAAGTGGAGCTGTGATGCAGAGTGTTAGAGCACTAGCCTTGAGCAAAAGAGCTCAGGAGCAGCACTCAGGCCCTAAATTTAAGCCCCATGACTGCCCCCCACTCCCCCCACCTCCGAAAAAAGATTGGAGTATGGCCAAAGAAAGGCTAGCACCAGCTAATCTGGGTGCACATTAAAAACTCACAAACATTTGTTATCCCCAATACAGTACAGTACAAAATATCACCAGACAACAATAATACATAAAGGCTAACTGCAAAATTTTCTTTAAAGTTTGTGAAAATGTACTGTTTGTAAACATGTTAAAATTTGCCTCCTACATTTTGTTCCAGAAAATAAGGATTTATTCTAGCTGCAGAGAACGTAAACATGTAATTACAATTACATAAAATTAAGCCAACTAATTGGGAACAAAAGGAGAAAATAAAAATTTCCCTTGTGGTTTTGGGAACTACTGTTCATCTCCAAAAAAAATGTTCTATTGTGATATTAAGATTCACGTTTCTGGAGTTTTGACAAACTCGATAAACAAAAGGGATTGCAGGAAGCAAGCTGACCATCTGTCCAGCGCTTCCTGAACTTCCACAGCAAATGAATAAAATTATCCTTAATTATGTTGTCAGGGACACATCTGAATACCCAGATGTATCAGCTTTGGATCAGTCACTTGAAATTCCATCCAAAGATTTTGACTGTATAACAGAACATGAGAAAGTGACAAGTACAGATTTTATATCTTAAACAATGTCACTCATAAGATGAAGATGTGCCGGGCGTGCTATGGAAAGATAGAAGACAAAACCACCTCCTGGTATCTTTCTCCAATATTACTTAGTCCATAGCCATTGATGTCCATAAGCAAGAAAAGATGAGGAGCAGGGATGTAGACAATCTCTCAGGTAGATTTCCCAATATTCCTGGTTCTAACAGGTGCAGGACACAGACACACGGTAGTCATTCACCCTTAAGCTGTTTCCCTCATTTGGTACACACTCAGATCTTCCTCTATTTCCCCAGGTCTCACACAGCACCATCCTATCTGGGGCTAGTCACACAGTACAGCAGTCCACAGCCTAGGCTCTGGGGCTAGCAGGCATAGGTTATGATTCTATCTCTGATAATTAGTAGTTGCAAAGCTCTGGAAGAGAATGCCTTAGTTTTCTTGTGTGCAAAATGGGAATAATAACTGCATATTCTTCATTAGAGTTCCTCTGAGGAGTAAATAAGCTAATGGTTGTAAAACACAATGCCTGGGACATGGTTAGAACTCAGATTTACTCATATTTGTTAGCCATATTGGTCATAAGTATTATTATGTGCCTATTATATACAGGTACTTGTGCTAAGTATTAGGGATATAATTGCTAAATGTTAATTATTTGTGCTTTTTAATACTCTATTATTATTATTATTATTTTCTCCTTGAGTTATGTCAAATGACAGTTTACTTCTCAAAACTTCCTGCTTGGATGGAGTACTTTAGCATTTTATTATGCCCTGCCTTATTCCTTCATTGTTTCACATATGTGCACCTGGTCACTTCAGAAAACAATAGCTTCATAGACAAATAAAAATAAATTATAGCAGGCAAGCACAGAGAAGAAGCGGGGAAAGCTGTATGTCCTCCAGTCTCTGCAATGCTAGCTTTATTACCTGCCTCCCCTTGGGAAGTCATATGACCTATGTACATCTTGGTTGCCCCTATGCAGATAGGACATGGTTGTAATGAGTATTTTAATTTCTCTTTAGCTCTCACATAAAGATTTGATGTGATTATTGTTAGTGAGCAGAATGTGGCCCATCAGACCTTAATGAGGAAGCAGAAATGGGTGCTTATGGCCCAATGTGGTAAGTTCGGTCACATGCTGACTTTGACTTGCTGCCCTTTTGGATTTGTTTAAGGCTGTCAACCATCTTTTTATGGCTTTTTACATCAAGAGAAAATAAAGCCTTTTTAGAATACATTCAATACATCATCAAAGAGTATTTACCTTCTTTTAGAAAAGAGATGGCGTGTCAGCTAGTGTGTTTTAGAAAAAGACATAAGCAGAACAAAAAATCCTAAAGTATAAAAATGCCTTGACTTTTAAAGAAAACAGAAATAGATGACATCTTATTGGCTGTGGGAACACTAGAAATGGGTGAACATTTGCTTTCTTTTAAACTTCATTCTGGAGTATGTAGGTATATTTATTCTTTATCTTTAAAATGATAATTTCTCCAGAATTCTTTTATCAGGTGCCCCTTCCCATCTACCAATCTACTAGCTGCACAGGCACAAACCCCTGGACAGGGCTGGCGTTGTTCTTGAGCAAATGTCACTCCTCTATGTTTTCTCTATTCAACACTTCCAGCATTGGTTCCTCTAACCAACACCACTTAACCCATCATTTCTATCAGCAAACTTATTTTTTGGTGCTTTGGAGCTTGAACTCAGAGCCTCATGCTCTCCCTTAGGATTTTTTTAACTTAAGGCCAGCCCTCTACCACTTGAGTCACACCTCCATTTCTGGATTTTACTGGTCAATTGGTGGTAAGAGTCTTATGAACTTTTCTGCCAGGGCTGGCTTTGAACCATGACCTTCAGATCTCATCTTCCAGTGTAGCTAGGAATACAGGTGTGAGCCACCTGACTCTCATGTCCTCATTAAAGACCCTTTCCTGACCCCACTGCTCCCTCTGGTGACCACTCTACCTCTCTGCTTTCCTTTCTGAACAGTTTTCAAAATGGCTACCTGAATAATATTTTATTATACAGTGCAGGGGTCTATTAAGTTTCCTGCCAAGAAAAGATCAAGTCAATTAAAGTCACTAAAGTAACTGACCCCAACACATTAAGAGCAGATTCATATTATAAATTTTGTCTCTGGTTACACCAAATGAAACCTACTTCTTTTTTGGTAACAATAATTATAATAGTAAAACATAGAATTTAGAAATAAAGCCATTTTCTTCCCCACCCCACTGGCTTTTCATAACTTTCCTGAAAGTTGAGTGAGCTGTTAAATTTCCATCTTATCAACAAGGAGCCTGAGGTCTCAGCTGTATCTGTACTTGGCAGGTGAGGGACACAACAGAGTGGGTATGGGTCACTGTGAGAGCATGAAGCCAATGTCCACAAGCTGGTGATTATGTGAGCTCTGTCAAGTAATTTCGCTTTCTTCTGATGTTGTTTTCACACGAGTAAAATGTGCACACTGCTCTCTGTTGAGATGTGTAAATGAGTTTATGCAGAATGCTAAGCTTAATGTACAGTTACATTTCAAGGCTAGTAGTAGCCTTGCCAATGTACTGGGGGACCGGCATTCACTCATTTCATAAATAGAAATGTTGCAACTCTGGCTCAGTGTGGTAATTTAATGCCTATAACTCTAGCTACTTGCGAGGTTAAGAATGGGAGTATAGGGCTGGGAAAGTGGCCCTGGGTTCAGTTCCTCAGCACCACATAAGCAAAAAGAAAAAAAATCTGGAAATGGCGCTATGGCTCAAGTGGTAGAGCGCTAGCCTTGAGCTGAAGAGCTGAGGGACAGCGCCCAAGCCCAGAGTTCAGGCCCCACAACCGGACCCAAAAAACCAAAAAAAAAAAAAAAAAAGAATGGGAGTATAGTGGTTCAAGGCCAGTCTAAGCAAGAAATTCAAGAAACCTCATCTGAACCAATAAAAAGCCGGGCATGTTGGTACGTGCCTACCATTCTAACTATTCAGGACGTGTAAATAGGAGGATCAAGGCCAGACCTGCCCAGGCACAAAGCAAGACCCTATTTGAAAAATCGGTGAAGGACTGAGGACATTCCTTAAGTAGTGATAGGCTGTCTAGCAAGCAAGAGACCCTGAGTTAAAATCCCAGTGTCTCAAAAAAAAAATCAATAAATAAAACTAAAAAGAAGGAAAGAAAATGCCGCAATGCAACTAAGCAAATAATCCAACTGTCATTATTTCTCATTTTGGCTTAAAACTCATACAATAGATGATACCAAATCATGACTATTTGGAATAAAACAATTGAGTAAAAGTAGTGAAATGTATTTTGCATACCTTGGGGTAAGAGCTTTAAAAAAGAAATATAGAAAGCATACCAACGCTTTTCTGACTTAAACTCACCTTCCTTGATCATCTCAGATTCAATATAAGGAGTAAGATATAACGGCCTTCCTGAATTTCCCGTAGGAGGCACAGAAACCTGGGCACTGCGGTACATGGAGCGAAACAGTCCATCACCAGGGATGACCATCAAGAGGACCAACAAAACAATCACCTTCCACATGACACCAACCATGCCTTCTGGATCTAAGAGGAAAATAACAACATTCCACAAGGGAATCAGAAAAGCATTTGCTAGCCCTTTTACCCACAAGAAATTCATTCATCCACTCAAAAACATTTCATTGTGTATATACAGGCCCTTGAACATTATCATTAAATTGTAATATGTAAAACTGACCCTTCCTCATTCTGACCCTGGCAATCTAGAGAGAGAATTCTTCAAAGGCTTTACAATGAAACTGGACAATAATTTATATTTTTAAAATGTCATCTGGAAAGCAAATTTGATGGACGATTAGATTGCAAAACAACAACAACAAAAACCCCTCTATTAATTGATCACCAATAAGTGGTAGAAACCATCCTGCCATTACAGGAAAGCAAGGGATTGAGAGCACATTTAGTAAGATATAGCAGGAAGGCCTTACCAAGAAAATTAAACAAATGGTGGGTGGAACACAGACAAATTGCAGAAATGCGCAAAGGGTCATGGTGCACCATGGGCCAGCCTGAGCAAATGTGAGATGTCTAGTGTCCATGAGCACTTCTCAGGGAATTTTAAAATAAGTGATAAAGGTGAATGCCAATGGCTCATACCTATAATCCTGGCTACCCAAAGCCAGCCTGGGCAGGAAAGTCCTGCAAACTTTTATCTCCAATTAACCAGCAAAAAGCTGGAGATGGGGCTGAGGCTCAAATGGCAGAGCATCAGCATTGAGCAAAAATGCTAAGGGGCAGCACTAAAGCTCTGAGTTCAAGCCCCGGGACTGGCACAGACATACACACACACACACACACACACACACACACACACAGAGCAATGGATTTGATGTCTTGTTATCCCTTTCATCTCTTACAAATCACTAAAACCTACAATCTAACAATGAAATCTGTGGCAAAACAATCATATTTCAGTACTAGGTTCCTTGTTATTAAACTGTCAAAATAAATTTGAATGATTAAGCATCGTGGGTTGTTTATTACTTTTCTAAAACAGAAAATAAGGACACAAGAAAAAGAAGAAAGGGGGGGAATCCCACAAGTAATTTCAAATCCCTTCACATTTACTGCTATCTGGTAAGTAAATTCAAGATACTGAGTCATAATATTTAGTAGTAGCAAAGTTTTCCAGTTATCTTGCAATCTGATATATGCCTAGATTATTCATCAGGCTAATCATCATGGTGGCTTACAATCATAAAGTGAGTAACCTAAACAATACAAAGATGCAAAAATGGTATTTAAAATGGTATTCCCTGTGTGTGTGTGTCTAGATTATTTAAATCTTCTAAAACACCACCAAGAAAGCATGGTTGATTATCGTCAATCTTAGGTAAGGAAACTGATTCAAAGGATTGCCTCATTCAGAAACATGAAAGTAAAAAGATAGGAATTGTCCTCTGTTAGGGCCAGTGAAATCCCAGTGACATTTCTGACTTTTCATACTAATCACAAATTTGTTTTTGCTTTGTATAGACCTTTATCAAATACTGAATGAATACACTATTTACCTTGATACCGAGGTTCTCTGTCATTCTTTTAAATGATCCTCTTGAGGCAGGTCCCCCGCCCCACTCCTCACCCTCATCCCAGCCCAGCTGAGCACTTGGTAGTGGTTACGACAGCCATCCCACTACTCAGTGCCACTTTGACTTAAGCATGATCTAAGTTCTTAGCTTTAAATTCTAAACAAGACACATTAAATGGCTAAATGCACCATTTGCTCAGATAGCTAGATGCAAGAAAAAATACACCATTATGCAAACACAATGCTCTTTTGATTTCCCATGCTTTAAAATGCCAAGCTACTAGAACATCTTTCAAGTGTAAAATGTGTAAAAAAAATCTATTAGCCACATGTTGAACATAATCCAATTTGCAATAATATGACAATATTGGTTGTAGCAAATTTAGATAGCTTTTCAGCCACATTTCTCCATCAAGAAAAAAGAATATAATCATAATTGATTGAATATATGACCCTTGTCTCTCTGGGTTAATTTAATAGAATTTCTTCACAGTTAATATAAACAAGCCTGTCCAAATACAGTATAAAGCTAAATCATGGGGTTTTCCTTGCATATTATTATTGAGTATAAAGAACAAAATGAATTTAGAAGCTGAAGTTAAGACCCCAAGAAGTACAAGGGTAATGGTCATCATGGTACTGTTGAGAAAAATTAATTATGAGAATTTGTTATATACACTGATGTTTTAGTAGTATAATTACTATAAAAGAATGTCTGAAATCAACAGTTCTGCTCTGGTTCAGAACAATCAAAATGTGCTCTTTAAAAAAATAATGGAAGAAGCACTTCCAGTAAGAGGGTTTGGGGTTATTTTCTCCCTTAGGGGCAGAAACAAGAAACCAATTCTGCCATCTAATTTTTCAATCTTCCAGCAGCAAACCTCCAGCCTCTTTAATGGAGCCATCAATATTTAAATAACTACTGAAGTCACAACACTTCCCTAGTAAGCAGAGGTCAACACAATGTTGTTAAGGAAAGATGTGAAACTGGTCTTACTTTAATTGACATGTCTAGTACATAAAAGTAAGAGTTTGGTCAATTTAGCAGATCTCATTAGCATTTAATCAAATAACTATTTAAGTCATGGTTCCCCATGTAGGTGAATTCAAATAATAAATACTTCACAAACATCATTGAACAGTGGGAACTTCTCACCTCTGCTCAGCTGTCACCTATGGTAATAGAAAACCAAGCCATTACCACAAATGGAGGTGTGGGTTTATAAAACAACCTTCTCAAATGCTTTTGTTTATCTTAAAATTAGATTGAATCTTCTTATTTATTAAACATTTATTGGGCACTTTATAAACTAATAAACCCCATACTCAATAGATATTATAAACTAATAAACTTTTACTAGACAAAGGTTATCTCCCAGAGAAAGTGAAAAATTAAAATCTTTTAACCATCCACGTTATCATTTCTACTTCAAATAATATGAGAGCATTAGTTCTACTTCCAGTTCAAATATATCATATTGAAGTAATCAGGGAAGAAAAAAAGCAACAACTTTCTCTTAATAAGTATTTAGAATAAGAATGTAACCTAGGTGTATTCAAACAGTATTAGCAGAATCAGATTAGAATATATTGCTTGCTAAAACTATAGCACAGTTGGAAACCATATGTGCAACATACAATCTCTATATTAAACAAGCTATTTAACTATCAATTTAAACACCCAACAATAGGACATCGAGTAAGTAAAATTACTGTATAATACAAATAGAATTATAAATATCAATGGAAATGACTACTAAGGATAGTTTGAAATACATGATAATGAGATAAGAAAAACAGAACACTTGATTTGATATATTTTCTTCTTATTTTACACTTCTTACACATTCTTAGTTTCCTACAATAATCTTATAATGAGTTTTTTTTCCGATTTTTTGGCTTCTTTCTTAAAACAAAGCAAAGCAACTGATAGACATGACAGGGGAAAAAAAAGTAGTGCCTGTTCCTTATTTCTTATTTCTACCTGGTCATGACCTCTTGCGTTTCCTAGGATAAGGTTCTTTTAGTTCTTCTAGAACAGGTTATTCTGTCTACAACATTCTGTTGAGAGGCATCTTGGTCTTCTAAAGTTACAGAACCTCACAGGTCTGAGGTAAAATGTTTCTTTGGTAAGTTAGAAGGCTCTGCATCAAGGTGAGATGATATTATATTAATAACTGTTATTATATTTGTATTTATTTCTAGTGAGTCTCTAACTGGTATGTATATAATTGGCACCAAGCAAATAGTTACTGGATTGATGGACTAAGTAATGAATCATACTATTCTAGACCTATGTGGTCTAATTACTTCTGACATGTTGGAAAACAAAACCCCAGGATGTCATTGATTACAATGTAAAAATCATACTGTTGTTGAGCAGTAAGACCAAAATTGAAGGCCAAGGTTTGTTCTAAATCTAATCTGCTTTCCCTTGTCTATATTCTCATTCTTATATTCTCATGTGTGTGGGGGAGGAGGGGTACATGTGTTCATTAGTACTAGAGCTGAAACTCAAGCCCTGAGCACTGTCTTTTAGCTATTTTACTCAAGGCTGGTGCTCTACCAGTTGAGCCATAGCTCCACTTGCAACTTTTTGGTGGTTAATTGGAGATGAGAGTCTAACCAACTTTTCTTCTCGGCTGGCTTCAAGCTGTGATCCTTAGATCTCAGCTGCCTGAGTAGCTAAGATTACAGGCATGAGTCATTGGTATCCAGGCTCTCACACTTGTATTTTCAATGGATAATAGGAACCTGGGATTGCTGGAAAATATAATTTTTTTAAATGATAGCTAAAAGATTTAAGAGTAAATTTTCCTAGGAAAATTCAGAACTACTAATGCCAGTTTGCCAACTATAACTCAGCAGTGTACCATAAGAAAAATGCTCTGGATTTCATCTGGTATGTTGTTTTCAGGAACTTTTAGGGTTGGTTGTTCAACTCTAAAAATTAACTATAGATGGACAAACTGTGGGAAAGCAAAGGAAAAGGTGGCATTGTCCAATAAAGAAATGTACTCATGTATTGACTTATGAAATGGTAACTCCTCTGTGCAACATCTTAATATAATGAAAATAAAATTCTATTAAAAATTAAGAAAGTCAGGCAGGTTCCTGGTGGCTCATGCCTATAATCCTAGCTACTCAGGAGTCTGAGATCAGAGGATTGTAGTTCAAAGCCAGCCAGGGCAGCAAAGTCCATGAGACTCTTATCTCTACTAAACCACCAGAAAACCAGAAGTGGCCTTGTGGCTCAAGTAGTAGAGTGTTTGCCTTGAACTGAAGAGCTGAAGGACAGTGCCCAGGCCCAGATTTCAAGCCCCATGATTGACAATAAATAAATTAATAAACTATAAAAACATGATGGAATGAGTTATAGTTCAAAATAGAGATTTAAAATACACAAGACCTATTTTTATGTAGTTATTTTACTGCATTTTACTATAACCTATGAATGCTTTTATGCTGTCAGGTGGACAGACTAC